GAAAGTGTTGACGAAAGGTTAGATCCAAATTTTTGTGGTTTAACCATCCGCTATCCAAAGTTCAATAGCCCGACTAATCTGCATTTGTGCCGCATAGGCCCTACTGAAATAGAGTACTTCTTAACATGATTTTTTTCTCCATTTCTATGCCTCGAACCATGCAGAAACCTGCTATTGAAGGTAGAGGAAATCTCACTCACGCATTATACCACACTCCTCGATGGTATTAGTGTGTAAGTTATGATATAAGCATAAATGTGAAATACATAGATTTAATTTGAACTTTTTTTTGAATGTCATTCAGAAATTAAATTTTGAATACATTCTTATTAAGGTTGGTGATGTTGTTGGAGGTTAAGAATAAATGGTTCTATTCTTGTCACGACCCGGAATCTCCACCGTCGAGACCGTAATGACGCCTAACATCACACTTGTTAGGCAAGCCAACGTTAAAGATTTATTAATCAATTCCTTTACATTTCAGTGTATAACAATAAACAAGCTAAAACAAGTCGAATGAACGCGGAAGTAAATAAATAACCACTTTGATTATATACTATTACTATCCAGAATCCAGAGTCACAATTCACGAACATTCTAAAATTTTACTACAAGTACTTATCCGAAAGAAAATACAACTATTTGCAAAATAAAGGAAACAGTAAAGTATGAGGTATAGAAGGGGGCGTCGGGCCTGCGGACGCCGACATGTCTACCTTGGGTCTCCTAGCTGATAAATCTTATAGCCAACCTCTCGATCAGCTCGAACCAGCTCCAAAATCTGCACAGGAAGTGCAGAGTGTAGTATCAGTACAACTGACCTCATGTACTGGTAAGTGCCGAGCCTAACCTCGACGAAGGAGTGACGAGGCTATGGTGGGACAATCACAATATAACATGCATATAGTGTATAATAAAAGTAGAAAGAAAGACATGATAAAATAAAATAGAGTAGTAACTTGCAAGAAATGAATACAATTCTCGAAGCATATCATCAGTGTATAGCTACTACCAATCCTTAAGTGTAATTTAAGACTATTGTACAACTAACACAGTCAAAAAAAGTATAAACATATAGGTTATTGCGGCGTGCAACCCGATCCCACCGTACACCTCATATTCCTCCCTTATTAACATAAACAACAGAAAATAAGTAAAAGTGTTGCAACGTGCAATCCGATCTCACAATATCACAATTCACAGTTCACCCTTATTATACCACAACTCACCCTTATTACACCTCAATTCACCCTTATTACACCTATTGTGGCGCGCAACCCGATCCTACCATATTAGTATCAGTATTCAGTACATACAACAATTTTACAGGTCAAATCACATAACTCTTCACAAGGCTTAATTTACAACCAAACAATTAGAAAGCTTGTACACCACGAATCTTTACACAAGTAATACTACTCAGCGAGACCAATCCAAAATATATCATGAAAGTACCAATAACCAGCCTAAGCAAATAATAGGAGACAACAAAGCTACAAAATAACTAATTCATTCAACAAAGAGAAGCATGTCTATCAGTTAACAATTAAGCATGGAAATACAAGTAAAGCATATAGCAGTTTAAGACAGACAAAGAGACAATATGAGAATAACGGAAAGAAACGGTCAAAGACAGATAAATTGGCGTCGCATAAGTACTTGTCACCTTACATATACGCCGGTCACATGAATTTCATATAGCAAATAAGTCAAGGGTTCCTAATGCCTTGAGTCAAAGTTACATACGACACTTACCTCGCTCCAAGAGCCACTCAATGCTCAAATACCGCTTTTCCTCTAGTATCTACCTCTAAACCACTCGTATCTAGCTACAATTAACTCAATGACATCAATTGTTGCTAAAGGAATCAACTACAATGCATAAATTTAGATTTCCCAAACTTTCCCCCAAAAAGTCAAAAATCGACCCCTGACCCGCTTGGTCAAAACCCGAGGATCGGACCAAAATTCATTTTCCCATTCACCCCCGAGCCCCGATATATAATTGATTTTGGAATCCGACATCAATTTGAGGTCTAAATCCCCAAATTTCGAAATCCCTAGTTTCTACTAAAAAATTCCCAAATCCACCATAAAAACCTTAGATTCTAGGTTGAAATCTTGTAAAATGAAGTGAAAGATTGAAAAGAACTAGCTTAGAATCACTTACCTATGATTTGGGGAAGAAAAGTTCTTTGGAAAATCGCCTCTTTAGGTTTTGAAAATTTGAAGAATGGGAGAAAAATCCCGTCTAAGTTTCTTTTCATTAGCTGTAGATGTTGCAAATGGATCTGGGCTTCGCAAATGCGAAGCAGACAAATGCAAGAAATCCATCGCATTTGTGAGGTCCCCCGCACTTCTACTTTCTTCGCAAAAGCGAAGAAATGCTCGCAAATGCGAGCTGAGCTTACCACAAATGTGATCCAATGATCGCAAATGCGAAGACTGCCTCCCCTTATCCCCATCGCAAATGCGGAGGAAAGTTCGCAAATACGAACATAAGGTGGTCTAGCTTCTCTTCGCATTTGCGATGAGATGCTCGCAAATGTGATGATTGACCTCGCATGCGAGGTCTGAGGCCTGCAACAAAATCTGTTGCACCAGCAGTGTTCTAAGTCCCATTTTTACTCCGTAGCCTATCCGAAACTCACCCGAGCCCTCGGGGCTCCAAACCAAACATGCACACAAGTATTAAAACATCATACGTACTTGCTCGCGCGATCAAATCGCCAAAATAACACCTAGAACTACGAATTTAGCACCAAATCAAATGAAATTCTCAAGAACACTTTAAAATTTCTATTTTCTCAACCGAACGTCCGAATCACTTCAAACCAACTCCGTTTCTCACTAAATTTCACAGATACGTTATAAATATTATATTGGACATGTATCGGGCTCCGGAACTAAAATACGGATCCGGTATCAACAAGGACAAACATCAGTCAATTCTTTAAAACTATTAGATTTTCAAACTTTTAATTTTCAACAAAAATTCATAACTCGAGCTAGGGACCTCAGAATTCGATTTCGGGCATATGCCCAAGTCTCATATTTCATTACGGTTCCATCGGGACCTTCAAAATACGGGTTCAGGTCCGTTTACTCAAAACGTTGACCGAAGTCAACTGAAATTAACTTTTAAGGCAAAAATTCTTATTTTTATCAACTTTCAACATAAAAGTTTTTCGGAAACACGCCCGAACTGCGCACACAAAATTGAGAAGGGTAAAAATGAGATTTTTAAGGCTTAAAAATGCATAATCGAGTTCTAAAATATAAAATGACCTTTTTGGGCCATCACAATTCTTTTGCAACTTACAAATATGTTTTTCTTCTATAAATTTTGTATGGCCAAAATGGCTTTTTAACAATTCAATTCCAATTTCATTCATTAAAATATAACATGTGACAAGTTGCTATGTTAATTGCTACTTGAAATTTGAATGATATCTTCTGCAGCTAACCATGATAAATGCTTTATTGTGTGGGGTTTGATTGCGTTAAAGCAGTAGAGTCAAAATGCTCATAAACAACAACAACAACAACAACTCAGTATAATCATACTTAGTGGGGTCTGGGGATGGTAGTGTTTACGCAGACCTTACCCCTACTCTAGGGTAGAGAGACTGTTTCCAAATAGACCCCCGACATCCTTCCCTCCAAGAAGTTCCCACCTTGCTCTTGGGGAGACTCGAACTCACAACCTCTCGGTTGGAAGTGGGGGTTGCTTACTATCAGAGCTCATGAACAAGAAATCGGCAAATGATTTTTCATATATTTATTTCTACAAGAAATCGGGTTACTTTTACATAAGGTCATCAAATTTTTAGTTCGCATCCGAAACTATTTATATACGATAAAAATATATAAAATTTGTACATTTATTATATATACTCCATACGTTCAATTTTACTTGGCACGTTTTGACTTTTCATGCTCCTTAAGAAATAATAAATGAAGTGCATAATTTTCCATGATACCCATATTAATTGATGCATATTTTATTGGATTTGAGAGAATAATTTGAAATGAGTAATAAATACAGTGGGTATAACATGAAATTTCTTGTCTTCTTGATATGTGTAAAGTATCAACTAAAAATGAAAATCTAATTTTAGTATACATGCCAAGTAAAAGTGAACGGAGGGAGTAACATAAAAAATTGTATATATACAAAAATTTACATTTTTTTGTCTATTATTTTGAGAGCGACAACACATGTTATTTCCCGTTAAAAAAATAGCCTCTTGTATTGGGTATGTTTAAAATATACTTTAAATTTGTCCAAAGTGAACACTATCGATTTCATTAAATGTTTACCAAAAGCTAGCTGTTAAATTTTATCAAAAAATTTAAGGAAAAAAGATTTAACTAAATACATCACCAAATTGCCATCAAATCCTAAAGAATGCAACATCAAAAACTGAATCAGACAAAATTAACATAAATTGCACCATAAAATTTGACTTAAGAAATAGACCAAAATTACATAAAAGTATTCACATTTGGCTTCTTTTCTTTTTCTTTCTTCTGCCTTGACCAAACAGTTCAGATATGTTCACAAGGACCATCTCAAGAAGAGCACTAAAACCGCCCCTTTCTCCTCCCTTACACCACCTCTCCACCACCACACCCACCACCACCACCACCCCTCCATGGTTCACCTTTCCCCCACCACTACCCCTACCCTACCAACATCAAGATTCATCAGACCCAATACTCAATACCCTTTCAGAAGCCATAAAAAACTCTCACACTAAACCCCTTCAAACTTCCCTTAAAACCCTCCTCCCATCTCTTAAACCCCAACACATAATCAACCTCATTAACCTTAATCCTCATTCTTTAACCCCTTCTTCTCTCCTCTCTTTCTTTACATGGCTTTCTTCAACTTCTCACAATTCAAAATATTGCCACACACTTCACACTTATTGCACTATGGCCCTTTTTCTTTATACCCACAAAATGAATTCACAAGCTTACTCTTTTATCCACACTATTGTTTCAAGAAGAGGTAAAGACTCTGCCTTTACTGTTTTTCAAGCAATCTTGAAAGCTAAAGGTACCAACTTTGCATCTTTTGTGAATGTTTTAAATGGATTTGGGGTTTGTTTCTGATGCTATACAGTGCTTTAGGCTTATCCAAAAACATAAAATTAGGTTCCCATTTCAAGGTTGTACTAAGGTTCTTGAATATTTAATGAAGCTTAGTTCACCAATGGCAGCTTTTGATTTTTATAAGGAGATTTTGGAATATGGGTATCCTCCAAGTTTGTATTTTTTTAATGTTTTGATGAGTAAGTTGTGTAAAGAAGGTAAAATGGTGGAAGCACGGTCGGTGTTTACTGAGATTTGGAAGAGGAATTTGAGACCTAGTGTTGTTAGTTTCAATATTTTGATAAATGGGTATTGTAGATTAGGTGATATGGATGCAGGGTATAGGTTAAAAAGAGAAATGGAGGAAAGAGGAATTTTGCCCGATGTTTATACGTATAGTGCTCTGATCAATGGGCTTTGCAAGAACTTTTGGATGAGCGACGCCAGTGAGTTGTTTAATGAGATGTGTATAAAAGGTTTGATTCCAAATGTTGTTATATTCACGACTTTGATTAGTGGACATTGCAAGGATGGTAGCATTGTTTTGGCCATGGACGCTTATCAACTGATGCTGACGCAAGGGGTGGAACCGGATTTGATTACATATAACACACTTGTCAATGGACTTTGTAAGAGTGGGGATTTAGGGGAAGCGAGGAAGCTCATTCATGTAATGATTGAAAAGGGTTTGAAGCCTGATAAGATCACATATACGACGGTTATTGGTGGATGTTGTGCGGAGGGAGATTTAGATGGAGCATTTGAGATCAAGAAAATGATGTTTGATAATGACATTGAACTAGATGATGTAGCATATACAGCTCTTATCACAGGTTTGTGTCGGCAAGGGCGAATAGTTGATGCAGAAAGGATTTTAACAGAAATGTTGAATGCTGATTTAAAGCCTGATGACCCTATTTATACTATGGTTATCGACGGTTTTTGTAAGAAGGGAGATGTTAAGATGGGTTTTAAGTTGCTAAGGCAGATGCAAAGTAATGGACATGCGCCTAATGTTATAACTTACAATGCGCTTTTAAGTGGTCTATGCAGACAAGGACAGATGAGAAATGCTGAAATGTTATTACAAGCCATGCTTAATCTTGGTTTGAATCCAGATGACATTACCTATAACATACTATTGGATGGGCATTGCAAGTATGGAAATCCTGATGATTATGATAAGCTACGTGGTGAAATGGGGCTTGTTCATGACTATGCTACTTATACTTCACTAGTTAGTAGCTTAAGTAGGAGCTCGAAATGTCAGGCCAGGAAGTGATGCATTTAATCAGAGAGCCAAAGACTACCATCTGTAACTGCCTTTTAGTAGGTGGATTTCATTCCACAAGTTAATTACCCTGTGAATAGTGTTGAATGGATCGGCGGAATTTCTCCTGGCTTGTGAATGATGCTGTAAGATGGATTCGAACTAATGCAATTTTGGATAAACTGATGAAGATGATGTTAGGTGAATTTTCATTACCTCACAAAACTGCTAGAAAGAGAGTAACTTCCCTTTATTTCTTCTTCTTGTTAAACCATTCTCTGTCTATAACACCAAAAGAGAAAAAGTCAATAGTTTTTATGAACCGTTGTATGCATCCAAGTATTTGTGAACAAGGATGCTTCATACTTAATTGTATTATCTTATCACAAACGAGTCAGTTGATTCAAAGAGGCAACAGTAAAACAAGGAAGGTCTTTTGCAATGTAGACCATGAACTATCTTTGGTGACATATTTTTGTTTGTTTTGTTAGTGCTATTCAGTCTGTCTGGTTTTTCATAACCAAGTTGGTTTCATTATTTAGACATATTCTGTTAAATTTTGGGATTGTTCAACTCAAATATCAAGTGGGATTGTTCTATTCATTATGTTAAAGAGGCAAGTTTGTTTTGCTACTTTTGGGATTGTTCAACTCAAGTATCAAGTGTAAGATATGTGTGTATAGCCCAAATTGCTACACTATTGCAATTTTGCGCTTTCACCTCTTTGTCGCCCTCCCTCTGATTAAACCTATTTCTCTATTTGGCTTCTTTAAAGCAATGAATCCTGTGCCTTGATTCTTTCTTGTTTTCTATCTTTATTTTCTTACGTCCTTTTCTGGTGTATTACCTTTCATTTGTTGAAGAGTTTTAGAACTGCACTCCCAACATCAGTTCGCTTCCCTCAGGACATGTGAAAGGTGTCTTGCAGCTAAGTTGTTCTAATACACTAGCGATGAAAGGCAATCTGTTTCTCTGCAATTTGAGAAAATGCCTAAAATCTACTAGAGGAAGAAAGTATATCATTTTTCAGCCTCGAGGATCTGTCATGAGCAATGGAAACTATAAACAGAACATGAGTAAGCTTCAGCTGTGACATTCAAAGATGACCTGTGCCAAGTTCAACAGCTTTGTTGAAAATGCAAGTTCATGCTCAGAGATAAGAAACAGATTTGAGTATCCTTGTCTCACTCTTAACTGGATAAACATACAGAGACAGATCCTGGCAATTTTTGCAATGTTGTGTACATATGCAAGAAAAACAGTTCCAGGTGTTTGTATTTCATCAGTTAGTTTCAAGAAAACTCTGGCTGCTTCGAGTTTTGACTGACAAGTGCAGTGCAGATGAAAAGCTTTTTGTAAAAGCATATGTACATGTAAAAGTGGTTCCAGGTGCATTTTAATTTTCAAATTGATTGAAAATATTTGATAAGTTCATTATTCTGAACGCAGATATATACTGTTGGCTTGACCGCAAAATTATCACTATTCCACTTAATTTTAAAATGAAGTAACTATGAGGTGGAAGATATTCAAATTTACGGTTGCAGTATTGTATAGGGACCTTTGAATGTGAGATAAATATCAACAACCGTTTCATACAGATATTTCCTGGAGATTTATTTCTTAAACAATTTATGTAACTGATAATTTAACCAAGGCCATGGCGCCGACGATGTATCAAGGCTCGAGTGATTCACCGAAGCGACAAGACCTTGAAAGCTGGTTTTTGTATGTGTCAGTAACAGAACGTTCTGTCAATCAAGAAGGTTTCTGCTAACAAGACCTCGAGATATCAGAGAGAATGATGACAAAAGTAATGAAAAATCATGTGAAAACCACGATCGCCTTGCATTCAATCACACTACACAGATTGAATCGGTCCTAAGGAACCCGATATACGAAAGTGATGAAGTTGCTTTGACTATAGAACCATGCCGGTTTATTGGAGCGAATTGGATTTAAAAAATAAAATAAAAGAATAAAATTTATTCTAAAAATTACTTTAAAAAAATGATGTTCGATTTGAGATCGAGAATTAGAAAGTTTAACTTTCAGTCTCCAAACTCCTTTATAATATATAACAGTGAGCCAATGAAACTTTTTTTTTTGTTTTGTAAAAAGTCAACGTAAACCAAAAATCTATCATCAGTGAGAATTAAATAACTTCATAAATAGATTCAGAGTGACCACTGAAAAATTCAAACAATTCATAGAACCCTTAATATAACATTACTTTCTTACCTACCAAAGTCATTCTAGGGCCCTAAATAACTCTCTCAAATTTAATATATACACATATCACAGGCCCCAGTTCATTTTAATTATTTTAAAGTGGTTCATGTAGCTCAGCTGGACTGAAAATTCTTGTGGGGTTCGAAATCACAACAAAGAAAGAGAATATGGGATAGAAAATTTGGTCAATTCATCAGGCTCAAGATGCGAAGATAGCATGTTCGAATCATGTCCCTGCCTAATCAGTGGAACATTGTTCACTAGGATTAATGCCAATTGACAAAGTGACATTAAGCATCCATATTGGTACGAAAAGAGGGGTCTAATATCATCTATGTCTGTACTGCTCCTCGTTGAGTAGATTTGATAAAACTTGACCCGCTCCTAGCAACTCCGGGTTGCTATAGCATGTTGTGAATTGGGGGGGGGGGGGGGGGAGGACATACTCGATGTGACCACTCCCTTTGTTAGGGGCTTGTCGCCCTGTGCATCGGATTTTGACTTACAAGTATCTGTTGGTTCTCTATTTTTTAACGCGTCTAGACAAGTTATGCAAAGTCATGTATACGCCACTAGTCTAATCGTTCTTTTATATTTACTAAATTAGTCAACCTATCTCAAGTTTCGCTTAGTCTTTTGAGAGAAAACCATTGAATTATAACTCATCGAGGTCTAATTTGACCAAATTACTAAATTTAGGTCCATCAAATTGTATATCCAAATGGTAATATGGGTAAAGTTGAATTTGTTGTGTGCCAAATTTAGCTTTGGTTTGGAGATTTGATAATAATACTCCTCCTATCCATTTTAATTGAGTTTTTTTGCTAGTTTCACACATTAAGAGATTCACCTTTTAGCATTAGTTAATAATAAAATTACCATATTAATCTTAATTTGTTCATTGAAAATATAACAAATACTCCTAGCCTTTTATTCCAAGGGAAACTTTGGAAAAGAAAAGTTAATTCCTTCTTGATATGGGGAAAAATCAAATACTGTGGATCACAAAAAAAAGTTAAAAAATTAATTAAAAAGTGAACTAGAGAGAGTAATGCTTTCTTAATGAATTTAATTGTGGGATTCAATTGTATTTAACAGTGGGGTTTCGGAAAATGGGCAACAGGGCGCCAAAGGATATAATGCATATATCAAAATTGTTTCTTCTTCACAAAAGGAAAAAGTGACGATATAGATTTCAAGTCATCGACACGGACGTTACAAAGATAATTTTTGTTTTAATTAATTACAGTAGTTGATTCTTCTATATAAAGTTTTTGAGAAAAGTAACATTCCTTCACATTTATGAACCTATATTTGTTGTTACTTTCTATCCGCGCAAAGAAAAATAGGATCATATTACTGCTTTTGATTAGTGCAACTGTGACAAAGGAAATTATTGGGATATTACCCCTCACCCTCATTTCCTTTGTAGCTTCATATATCGGCTTGTACTTTTAGATGTGCCTTGTGTACATAATACATATTACTATAGAACTTTGGTGCAGGGGTGGGTGGGTGGTTTTTGAAGAAATTTCCTGTTTCGTTCCGTGAAAGAAGAATTTTCCTACTACATTTAATGTTACAGTATGTATCAGTTGACTAGGTCCAACACCAATAATTCTATGGAGTATGAGCCCATGTCATACAAACTTTTTCAATATCAATAATGCCTTTTTGTTTTTAGATGCATATGTTTTTACAGCTAAGGCTACAATTTACTGAAACTTTATTTTGTTGTCAAATAAAAAGGGAAGTTAAGGTACCGACCAAAATAGTAGTAATAATTAATTGTTTGACAAGACAAGAGTGTGATGACCAACCTCTCTTTGTCTCATCTCGATTTGCGTGCGCAATCCGGGCGCGTTTCCGGAAATTTTTTATGTGAAAACTAAGTGAAATAAAGAAATTTACTTTTAAAATTGAATAAAGTTGACTTTGGTCAATATTCTTGGTAAACGGACCCGGACCGTGATCCGACGTTCTCGTAGGGTTTGCAGTAAAATGGACTTGGGTGTATGCCCGGAATCGAATTCCGAGGTCCCAAGCCCGAGAAATGAATTTTTGAAGAAAATTATTTTCTGGAAAATATAAAGGTTTTTAGAAGCGAATTGATGCTTTTTCTTGATGGTATCGGGCCCGTATCTTGGTTCCGGAGTCCCGTACAATTTCGAAATAATAATTAAGATAAATCTGTAAAATTTGGTAAAGATCGAAGTTGTTTTGGTATAAAATGGACCTAAAATTGAGAAATTGGAATATTTGATGTTCTTGAATGATTTCATGAATTTGAGGTTTAATTCATAGTTGTTGACGTTATTTTGATGATTTGATCGCACGATCAAGTCCGTATGATGTTTTTAGGCTTGCGTGCATATTTGGTTGGGAGCCCCGAGGGCTCGGATGAGTTTTGGATAGGCCACGAGGTGCATTTAGACTTAGGGAAAATAGTTGCAGGTTGGAGGTCTGGTGCTGGCCTCTGATTTCGCAATTGCGAGATCTGGTGATCGCAAATGCGAGGTCTGTAAACTTGGGAATTGCAAGGGGCTCTTCGCAAATGCGAAGTAAGCCCTGGACAGCCTTGCTCGCAATTGCGAGCATTTATTTGCAAATGCGTAAACCCGTAAAATCCCCAGCGTCGCAAATGCGAGTTCGCAATTGCGAACATTTATCGCAAATGCGAAGATAGCAGGTCCTGAAGGGGTTCGCAATTGCGAACCCTGGTCGCAATTGCGACATCTTCGACCTGCTAAATCCTAACTTAGTCGAAAATTTCTCATTTTTCAAACTCTTTCAAAACATAAACTCTCTTGGGCGAATTTCCAAAGAATAGTTCTTCTCCAAATTGATTGTAAGTCATTTCTAACTCGTTTTCTTCAATCTTTAACATCTTTTCACATGATTTCAACTCAAAATCAAGGGTTTTCATGGGAGAAACTGAGTGTTTTGGGTAGAACTTAGATTTTTCAAATTTTGGGAATTTGGACTTCGATTTGAGGTCCGATTTCAAAACAAGTATATATTTGGGTTCGTGGGTGAATGGGTAATCGGGTTTTGGTTTGAACCTCGAGTTTTGACCATGTGGGTCCGGGGTCAATTTTTGACTTTTCGGGGGAAATCTTCATAAAACCTATTTTTCATGCATTAGAATTGATTCATTTAGCATTTATTGATATCGTTAAGTAAATTGTGGCTAGATACAAGCGAGTTGGTGGTGGAATCAAGAGGTAAAGCGGTAGTTGAGGCTTAATTGTGTTCGTGGCCTTGAGGTAAGTGTTTGGTCTAACCTTAACTTGAGGGATTAGGAGTTGTGTCTTAATTGCTATGTGTTAATTGTGGAGTACGACGTATAGGCATGGATACGACGGTGTCAAGCATGCCCGTGAGTCTTGTATTATAATTGT